AATTGGAGCTGTGTTCGATCACTGTTCCATCTTCTCTGAGACGATGATTATCCACCCCCCCCGCCTCCCTCCTCCCACCACCGCCACCACAAGCGCTTACAGTAAACCGGTGAACAAGCACACACAGACACACAAATTACAGGGTAAAGGCCGATGAGCCTGTAGGGCTGTCCGACCCGGGGACACAAAGCTGGGGTTTTTGCAGAGAGCTTGGTGTTTAAGGCAGAGAGCTGCCGGGTCAAATCGTTCTTATTAACTCAATATAATGACAGCAGTAATTCTCTTTCCCCCCCAGATTACATTCAAACATGCTGAGTTCAGACCCATTTTAAATCTGTTTCCATGGACACTCGCGTGTGCCTCGGTCCTTAAAAATATTTGCAGCCAAATTTGAGACAAACTGAGAAAAAGAACTTCTCGGAACTCGTCACACATTCGTGTGATGCGACTCGATGTTAGGAGTATGGTCTGTGTTACCAATCAGCAAAGATTGAAGCGCCGCCTTTCTCCCAGAAGCATTATGTCCCGTAATGAGATTCCTCTCCCTGAGCATCCCTCCCTAATCCCGCGCCTGGATCTGCGCTTCGAGGGTCCCCGGCAAACAGCTGAGCCGAGCCCAACGCGGAAGCTCTTACATGAAATTCCCTGTTAACCCTGCCTCCCTGCATTGGGACCCGACAATGGAGCCGTAATGGAACGAATGCTACGCCTATTACGGAACATGTTAATCCTCTTAAGAAGTTAAGAGAGGTCTAAATGACATGTGAAGCGGGCGGGAGCGAAGAGCTCCGCGGAAACGAGCGGAAAGCGAGTGTGAGAAAAGAGGTTCGTCGTAAACAATGGTCCGCCCGCAGCCTCATTCTCAAAGTCATTAACCTGCAGTTCTCTCTGGAGAGTTGAGAGGAGAAGGAGGGATGCGGCGGGTCTGCCTCTGACTTCCAGCCCGCCGTTTTTTTCACAGCGCGCATTATGTCCTTGCACATTGTCTCCGGCAAACAAAGATGAAAGTCTCATAAAAGCAACACTTCGCTGAACTGCAGCTTCAACCATTTAACCGTGTTTAGAAAACGCGGTGTTATGATGCTCTCAGAGAAGCCAGTTCAGATTTAAGATCGTTAGAAAGGCTGCCAAAGATCAAGCTACATCGTTAACTAGATTCTCCCTGCTCCAGCATTTTGGCTGATGTTTATCCCTCTAAAGACTGTTCTTAAGAGCTTCTTTTTTTCTTTTTTTTAAATAGCCTCCAACGCCTTGATTAGAGGGAAAGTTAAGTAACTTTCTTAGACAAAAACTCATGAAAGGCAGGGCTGGAGACAAGAAAAGCCACAGAGCATTGAGAGCACCATGGGCATCAATGAGATCAATACTGAGTGAATGCAAGTGGACAGAAAGGTAGTGAGTGGTAAATCTTTCGGGGGTGGGTGGGGTCTCGGGTTGATTTCGAGGCTGTTGTGCCAAAACTAGTGCAAACGGGAGTGGAGCTCACCTGTCTTTTCCCGTCTCCTTCTTGAAAACCATGTCGCAGTAGTTCATCCTGTCCTCCGTGGTGACGTAGATGCGGGCGTTGGGGTAGTTCTCGGAGGCCTGCCGCAGCATGTTGTAGACGATGCCCTTCCCGTCCCGCCTCATGTTCCGCAGGGGCCCCCACACCACGTAGACGGTGTCGTTGCCCTGGCCGAAGAAGTGCTGCGGCCTCTGCAGCAGCAGGGGGACGCTGGTGTGCGACACCACCCGCAGGGTGGTCCGGCGGCCCACGTCCCGCTCGAACCCCCGGGCGGGCGCATTGTTCATCCTCCAGATGCAGGGGGAGCGGTCGATCTGAGGGCCGGCGGCCTGGCCCAGCATCTGCCCCGAGCTGGACACGATGCTGCACAGCTCACACTGCAGCTTCAGAGGCTGGGGGGGGGAAGGGGGGGGGGGGCAGAAAGCAGCTCAGTCACAGAGGAGAAGACCTTAACCCAGCAGACTGGTCTGGGATCAGGGGCAGCTGCAGAGAAGCACCCCTGCATGCTCTTTCCCAAATATGGAAATCGCATTTCGGACTTAGCGGGCAACGGCCAGCCAATTCCTGAGGCCAGTGTTTTTCAACCACTGTGTCTCGGCACACTAGTGTGCCGCGAGTGATCGTCAGGTGTGCTGTAGAAAATCATCCTATTTCACTTAATTGGTCTAAAAAAAATTTGTTGATAATTTTCTGCAAATAATATGCCATTTTTGAGTGTCTGTGCTGTACTAGTGACTGGTGGCGTAATCATGTAATCATTCCTTATGACTAGATTTTGTATATAATTTTGCATATTGAAGTGGACATGTTAAGTGCAATTTGAAAGAAGAAATATAAAATATGATAAAAATACATTTTTGTGTTTATTTGATTCCTATTCAAGACACTTAAGATAAGATAAGATAAAATAAGAATAACTATATAGGCGGCTACAGATTTGTTTAACATTTTTGGTTGGTGGTGTGCCTCTAGATTTTTTCAATGTAAAACTGTACCTTGGCTCAAAAAAGGTTGAAAAACACTGCTCTACACCAGGTCAGAGACTAAAGACTCAGGTCAGGACTAAGGTGTCCCAGGATGAGCCTTAATTGCATTCAAATGGGAAAACGTGACGACAGTTTCAGATACTTTCAAATCCAAGTTCAGCCGTCAATAAAGTTTCACACTGACAGAAACTAGATGTAGTCATACTCATTGGGCATGTGGGACCAATCAAAGCTAGCATGAGGTCTGGTTTTTGTTTCTCTTTTTAGAAACCAGGAAAGCGTGATGACACACCAGGTTTTTCCAGCTTTGCCTGATAAGACGATACTATCAACAGCCTTATTATCATCTGTATTCCAACAAAGAACACACCCAGCCAAAAAACGATGACTCGGGTTAGTTACAACTCTGGTTCCAAACTGCACAAATACTTCTGAATGTCTTTTTGTCTGCAGACGACGGTAGTTTACGGAGCCCCAGCAGTCAATCCTGTGCGCTAAAGTCAGCAAAACCGGGTTTTAGTTAGCACACAGTTCCACAGGTGGGAAGAGTCGTTGTTCGCACAGCGATCTAGCATTCAATAGATGGATAAAAAGGCCTTGGATCAGCTTATTTAGAGCTGGAACAATGGATCCAGAGGATGTGAGGGAGGAGGAGGACGGGCCAAGGATGCAAGACTCTAATCACCTTTTTTATTAATGTATTGATATTTTTCGGTATATTTCTTTTGCTGTGTGTTGGAGCAACATAAGAGATAACCTCAAACATCTTTCATAAAACATGTAAAACTGCTTTTTTAGGGTCAGAACTGCAATCAGCATCTCTCCTTGTCATTTTACAGATAATGTGAACTGCCGGTTTTAGTGTGTAAAACTGTGTTTTTGTGTTCTTTTGGCTTTTTGTATCAACCCTGAAGGCAAAGCTAAGCCATGCACGACGAATGGTTTGAATAGACAGTTTTTTGTTTTTTTTGTGCGGGCGTTTTTTGACTAAATTGTTCAGTCTTGAAATGATGCTGAGGCCTTAACGTGGCGGGTCAGCTCGGTGTTATTTTTTTTTATTCTCTCTGAAAGCGCATCGTCAAAATAGTGAGCATGGTTGTGAATTACTTTCCTTTGGTTGCAGTTAAAACTGTCTTCATCTCAAAATAAGACCCGATGTACTGTTTCACCTCATTTCTCATCATTTTGATAAAAAATCAGGTCCAAACCTTTCTTTGAATTTAACTTTTATCTAATAAGGAGATTAACAAAAACTCAGCCTGATGTGTCCACGTGTCATTTCAGAGGCCTTTGAGATTATTTTGTGGGAGCAGCTCTTTAGGATCGAGCGGTTTTGGAGCTGCCTGCGAGCGTAGGTGGCAGCACATTTAAACAGGAACAGGGACAACAGATTTCTCAACTATTTGAAGAACGTAGTTCTGTAGGTAGTGTGAAAGAAGGCCAAGCATGGCTGGCTAAATAAGAATGTGCCAGTAGTGAGTCTATGGGACTATCCAAACCTAAGAATAACATGTTCAGGGAGAAGTGGGAGTTTTGCGATTCGTGGTGAAACTCAGTGTTCCACGGCAGATTATCACCAGGGCACGTTGTCAGTGAGAAGAAACATGTATGTAAATTACATCACTTTGACACTGTGTGTGTGGATGTTTGTCTCTTTGTGATTCTGTGTCTAAGATTTGTCTCTTTCCTGACTCATTTTAGATCATTTCCAGCCGGACTAAAGGTTAAACCCACTTTTTTGGGTGGGTGATCTTTAATCCAATATAACAAAATGTCATTGTAGTCCTCGTCCTAGCCATTACTTTCTTTACAGTCAAACTCTGTGACTTCACGGGATCACACATTTATGTTTTCTTAAATTGTTTTCATGTTTTTAGTGGGCATCAATTACAAGTTACCTTCGATTGAACTGTCTAGCTCTCTTTAAGATAAATTAAATATGCTTAATCCAGGCTGAGTAAAGATTAATTCATAAGTATCTTATTTACAGTATACATAAGTCTAATGAAAAATAAGGCCAAGGTAACTCAGTTGTAAACTCAAACAAACCTACTACTTTCTCAGGTCTGAAGGCAAAAGATACAAGCTGAGATCATGTTTCAAGTATAACAAGATTACAGATATCATGCATTTATCATCTAAAAAATACGTTTTTGGTCATTTCTGTGACTGGTTTTAAAAAAACAAAACAACAATAAAAGTCTAACCTCCAACAGTCTACTAGTGCGGCTTAAGTAGGGTGCTGCATCAGTCCACAAAACAGCCAAAAGAAAGAAAGGTAATTAGAACCCAAGAAAAAATAAATAGATCACAGCGGATAATGCTGCAGTGCCTTATCACTGGCTTTTATGGCCGGGGAACATTGCCTGCACCCTGCACAAAAATAAGGAGGCTGAGATATACATCTGGAATCAAACTGACCCCACCAGAGAAAGGGGCAATTAAAGCGTAACTATAAACCCGTGTTTATGTAGGTGACTTCCTGCCACTGTGTGAATAAGTCAATGTAAAACAGAGTTAACCCAGACAGAAAAATGAAGGGCTTGCTCTAGAGAAAGAACACAACTGTTTAACGTGTCTAAAAATAAGCAGGAAAAATGATCATAACAAGCAACAACAAACTTATTTCAAAAGCAGAAAAAGGAACTAAGACAAAATCTCACATGAAAAATACCAGTCTGATGTCTGAAGGGTGGAAAGCCAGTGATAAAAACTGCTATCTTTAAGAATGTAGTCACAGATAAAAACAGATGTTGTAATAGAAAGCATTGATTTTCAAGTCTTTTATGTGGGATACAAAGACCGCCGTATGATATGAGAGCCTTAAAGCAAAGCAAGTTGTAAAGAGCAGCAAAATTCTGGGAATAAAGCTTGTACTGTAAAGACCGCTTAGCTCCTTTTATCTGACCCTCTTCTCCGTTTTTGGATCGAGTCTGGTCGTAGACCCCGGGCTCCCGGGCTGGACCAGGACACCGACACAGCCCGGCAGCAGGGAACCATCAAATCAATTAGTCTGGGGCTACTTTTTAATGTTTAAAACCAAATTATTACATTGGTTGTAGTTTATCTTTGCTGAGGCTGTTTATGTTTCTGCTTCTGTTCGAAGTATTTTATTCCCTTTGATTTTCCTCGGATAACGCTATAACAGCTTGACACCGCTGTGTAAAGTGCCTAAAACGACTTTAGTGATAATATAAAGCTATATAAATAAAGCCAGACAGAGCGGGAGGGAAATAAAAAAGCAAGAAATAAAAAGTTAAATGAAATTAAACTACTATCTAATCTTCTAATATACTACATGTTAAACTCATCTCATGACACCCTGTGATAGATTTTAATTGTGCTAGATCAAATTATAAAATGGGCGTCCTGGCAAGGAGCACATATAGTTTGGATATTAGAAAAAAATACACACATTTAGTAATTGATAATAATAATAAGTGTCCATCTTGGATTTACAGACCCTGGTAATTTTATACGTTTTCATAAAACTGACCTCCCACTGCCCAGAACTAACTCACATTATGATAATTTAATGTGGGACCTTAGAGGTTAGAAAGCAGTGTCATTTATCATAGTATATTTTTCTGTATGTGTGCTTTTTATCGGAGCAAAAGGGGGTTGATAATTAATCTTCGGTAAGAGCGATGCTTTGCTTTGCCAGGAGACAAAGAAAAGTTCTCATCTGAGGCGGGAGGTTTATGTAACTGAAGCGAAAAAGTTTGGCTTTGTTTTGATAAGATTAAACTTACGTGAGTAAATGCACGACACAGTAGCCAAAGGAAGTTTAAAAAAAACAAAACCCAATGCACTTAGCCTTGTTCATCATTTTCTAATGAAAAATAACTGGAATGCCAGTAAGTTTGGAGAGGAATGGCATTTCTGCTGCCTCCCAGCAGCAAACACGAAATCATTCCTGTGTTCTGCGTTTAATGATCAAATACAAACGTAGCGAGCTTCAGTCTGCAAACGCAGTCCCGCAAGGCAATCCGGCAAATTCTATTAGAACCACTTGGCTTATCTTGCTCTCACGATTCATTGGTGTGCGCACACATGATCGGTTTCTTAAAAAGCGGACGAAAAAAACTAACAAAAACTGCTGATTTTCTCTCTCTCTCCAGAGACATGGCTTGTCTGTTAATCACTCCAGCACCACCTCCTGCTATTGCTTTTTTTTCTCCCCTCCATGAATGCAATCAGAGGGTTAGAAATGATCTCGGGAGCCTGGCTGGTAGTCGTCCCGTTGTTGGGCGGTTGAGATACACAACAGGGCTGCCTTGAATTGTCAGCAGCTCATCTATCATCACCTGCTCCCCTCGGCCGAGCTCATAACTCCATCACGCCTTTCAGCACACACAGATTGGCTGAACTCTGTGGGGAACTCTGGCTGAATGCGAGACGCGCGCGCCCTGTGAGTGGAAACCGGACACCGAGGAGCCCTGAAGCAAGGCATTTCTCCTACTGCTGCTGCGCCGGAGCTGGTTTTCCGTCGCCGGAAAGGTTCGATTAAAAATAAATAACCGGGGCACGTGATAAGTTAAAGCCACAAAGAGAATCAGCCATTAAAAAAAAGCCTCCTGGAGTATTTGGATTCATCATCTGGTTCCCAGTGAATCACTAAAGTCTCAGTTTCATGTTGAAGACGGGGCTGTTTCAGTGAAGCACTCAGTAATCCCAAACACAGTACACATGTATAATCCCAATAATTCTACTGCTCCGGTAAATACAAAATCTGCTCAGCAAAGCCTCCGATTTTAATGCTCGGCTGCGTTAAAAATGAAAAATGGGTGAGTCAAAAATAGCCGGCGCGATGCAGGAGACACAGCCACCGCAGCGTCGGAGCTCTGAACTTCACCCTGACATCCATTATGACGCTCATAACGCTCGTTTCTCACTAGGATACAAATTCTCTGGGCCTGAGAAAAAAGGATAGCCAACCAGCTTTGGCCTTTTTCACAGGGAGAAGTTATTCAATGGCATTGGTAATGGGAAAAAAGTCTTTGCCGTGCTATTCAACCTTCTTAAACCACTTAAAATTCCTGCAAAAACGGGAATACCTACATGCTAACATACATTTGGATCAAGTAGAAGCGTAAAATGTGCTGGAATCTGCTGCTTATGTCTAAATTTTCTGTGTCTTTTCTAATGAATTCAGTTTATTCAAACAAAAAGTGATTAGTTTTGAAAGGAACTTAGACAATGGGGGAAACATTTTACACAACACTTTAAGAACTTTTAACGTAACATATCCATATCAGTTTATGTGGGTATGAGGCAAAACAAATAACTGATATGTCCATAAAATCTTCCTTTTACGGCCGTAAAGACAGAGTCTATCACAGTGATTTTGTCGTGTGGGGCCGTTTTGAGAGCCCCCGCCTCTTTATCGGTCACCCACCTGCAGCACCAGTCAGTTTCACAGATTTATTCACGCCTGCAGTTTCCTTTATTAGTTTAAATGATTCACTGTAAGTCCTCGCCCGCGTGAAGGACACAATAATCGCAATCTAACCGAGATGGCAGTCAATGAATGAGACTTTCCCTCACCTGGGACAGGGGAGCTGTCAAACCCCGCTCAGAGACTGCCCTTAATCATCTGTCACCCAGCGGTCCTCCTCAGGATGTGGCCGGAGCCTGTTCATTCATTCTTAAGTCTTATCAAATTAAACAAATCAACCAACGGGCAGAAGAGGAGGGTCTTCCTGTGAAAATCTCAGGACAAAGTATTGTACATTTGCCGAGGCACAAGGTTAATTTACTGTCCTCCGGGTTCCTAATGAGTCTCAGCCAAACTTGTCCTGCAGATTTATTAATGCGCCTTTCACATTTTATCAGTTTTTCCACTCGGCTCAGTCAGGGAAAAAGGGGCAGTAACATTAAATCAACGTGAATTGGTTTAAGGAAAACTACTTCATTATTCAAACGTGAAAATGAAATAATAAAGACAAACTGAGCCTGAAGTTCGGGCCTCGTCCGCTTGAGGAAAACAATTACGTCCCGCGATAGAAGTCGAGCCAAATTACATCTTTATCACCTTAAAAGCGCGCGGCAATTAAAAGGCTGCGCTCCCAAGCAAAACTTCAATACGAAAAGTCAAAAGGACTCCTCCGACTGAATCTAACGAGACAGGAAATAAGTGAAGGTTTTTAGCCAAACTGAGGCCTGGTCCAAGACACACACACACGATTCTGTGGCTGACATCTTGAGGCCTGTATGTCTCCGTTGCTTTGACCCCAGTGAAGATCTAATACTTGCTCCTATCATTAATATCAGTTTCTCACATGCAGACAACAGACTGTTAATCACCGGTTAAGGCTGCGCACCACAGCGTGTAAAGGGGTGGCTGATTAATGAACAATATTACATTAGGTCTTGTCTTATCATGAAATGGCAAGCAGAGTATTATTTACCTCATTTGTATTTTTATACATTTTCAACCAGTGTGTTGTGTGTGTGTGTTAAGGACTGTATGACCTAGACTGTTTTTAAAAGGGTTTCTCTGGGAAATAATTAGATGTTTCCAGTGCAAAGAGTTTTTTTTTTATTATTGTACTTTGCTCAGGGTCAAACGGCTTGAATATAAGAATAAAGAAGCCGGTTCCTCGTATTCTACGCTACGCAGATCAGCATGTCTAACTTCATTTTAAGTTCTTCAACATGTGGTTTAAATTTCAGCTGCCTGCCTGATAAATCATATATATCTATGTATGATAAGTGATATTAAAATTGGGCAGCCCATTTTAGTGCGGTGTGAAGTGTTAATCGGGTTCTGCTCTTCCAGGCACACTAGTGACTCAACATCAGTGTGTCCACACCGAAGTCTGGAAATCACTCAGACTCTAAAAGTAGGTCAGGAAATAGAACTAAACTCTGTGGAGCACCGACGGAGATCAGAGTAGAACAACAGATCTAAACACTCGCGCGGTGAGAGGTCACCGTAAATCCCTGGATGTTAACGCTGAAAAGAAAAGAAAGCGCATCAACACAGACACAGAGATTAAAGACTTCTTTTCTCCAACAAAAAGTGAGCCACAACTCAGCGAGGCGGAGAGTAAACACAGCCTCTGCTGTTCAGTTTATGAGTGAAGATGCGCTAACATACAGAGTTATTCTAAAAGTGACAGTTTGCTGTAAATACATTAGAGCTGCGTTAAAAAGATGCCGACAAACGCTAGTCAGAAATAACTCAAAGTTGAAAACAAAGTCAAACAAGAACTATGAAATGCTTCATCCCTGAGACATGACATATAAAGAGCTCCATGTTTTTTAATTAAATATCTATTTAAGGAGTTCTTTGTACGTTAGATATACATTCATAAGAACAATGTCGTTAAGAAGTGGAAATCAAATGTGTCAGGCTGCATACTTGATACCAAACCAGTAATTAAAGTAACAGCAAGCAATCCCCCCTTATTTGAATTTTAAATTCCTAATCCTACTCCCGATAAAAAGGGCTGTTTGATACTGATTATAAATGTGATGAAGCTAAATAAAACCTCGAATTGTGGATCGCAATCCTGGCTGTGTTGAGATAATTGTCAGAGTGCTGGCATGGTTACATATACAGACACCTTCCTGCTATTCTGAGCTGAGCCCGGGACATTGACTCTGTAAACCCATATCATTTCATACTTCCGTGTGAAAAACGCTTTACAATTCTGGTTCCAAAGGCTTTAAATGTCCAATTAAAGCTGTTAGATGTTAGCTTTCTTTCTAAAACTAGTAACTCGGAGGGCAGCTTTGCAGATGTTGAGTCTATTAACTATTTAAGGAAAATGTATAAACACTGCTTCCACCTTAAGGCGTTCCCATGTAAATACACAAGAGTTTACATCTTCTAAACCCAAAGACTTTGCTCCATATTGATGGGTTCCTTTCAAAAAGAGCAGGGACGTAAAATGTTCTGGTCCAAAATGAAAATATTGAGTTTCTTTCCCGGGCGCCTGATAGACCCGAGGCATGAATGTAAATTGCCTCGAGACAAATGTTTTGTGTTTTCT